CTTATTTTCACAAAGCCTCACCTCAGCACTGCCCCTTATTTTACTGTTTACTGAAAACAGTTGCTTAAATTAATCTCTGCACTAAATGAATTGAGAATCCCTGTCAAAGTTAATTTGAAAACTGCCATTTTAAAGAGCTTCTGGCTACATTCCTGTAATAATTCCATTGCTGTCTAAGATGCTTATTTTTTTTGAATGTAAAAGTTCCGTTTGACCGTTAAGCTGCATTGATGATATTCTGTTTTGACAGTCGGTCAAAGTCCCGATCACCATCTCCAAAGAGAAGGTATGTTGATCTCCCTACTAATAACGTAGACTCCGTAGAGCTGGCATTTTAGTATCTGCAGTGATCTCTGCTGAGGAGTTTGACTGCTGCTTGTAGGAAATTACTGGAAAGGTATTTTGCCGAGATTTCTTCGACAGAAATAATGTTGTGATTGTGGTTTTACATATGGCACTATATAGGTGGTAGTAATTCCTCGGGATACTTAGCAATGTTACATCATACCTTTGTCTGCTCCGGTGTTCGTTTCAGTTTGCTAACAGCTTTATTGCACAGAGGCTTTCTACTGGTGAGCCTAAAGCACAGAATAAATGTGGCAGTTGGCTTTAAAAGCTGCAGTGAGATTGGGGAAGATAGAGTGGAGTAATCTGGCACAGCGGTCAGCAATGGACAAGCGGGCTTGTTATTTGTACTGCTGTTATTGAGATTGGGGGTTTTTCCCCCCATAAGTTGGTAAATAAATCTGTGTGTGTATATGCATATATGTGTAGTGACAGAATCAGCAGCATTTTTTTTCCCTAGTTTGAATTTTTTAATAGTTTGTTTTCACAGCTGCAGTGTTGAGGATTTGCAGGGAGTATATTCTCACATACCCTAGTAAGAATAGCTGTAGACCTGCCACAATGTGTGATCTTCCTGCCCTGCGAGTTGGGTTTTTTTCTTTTTGGGGTTTTTTTTTACATACTTATAGAACTTCTACACTTAGGTTTGCTTCATTTAAAAACGTGGCTCTGTAGTCTAACCTCACAAGCTTGAATCAGTGCTCATAAATGCTGCGTGATCACCACGCTAGGTTTTGATGAGCTGCTGTATTCGAACAGTGAAGAAGTACCCTGCCTCCACAAAGTATTGCTATGAGTAGTACCTTTTAGATGACTTTACAATGATCACACTTAAATCGTGTTATAAAAATAACAGTAGAGAAATGCAAAAATGCTAAAGTAAAAAAAAAAAATCTCTAACGTTAAATCATCAACTCATTAACTTTGTCAATAGTGGTTGCTTATTTTATTAAAAAAGAGTGCTTAAAGGGTGCTGGAGCAGCCTGGGTGTCCTCCTGTTGCTTTTTCCTGTGCTTGTGATTCCCAAATGACTACTGAAATGTTAACTGTGGATTCTTTCCCTTTCAGTCGTTCACCGTCAGGAAGCCCTCAAAGAAGTGCAAGTCCTGAAAGAATGGATTAAAGTTATGAAGTTAATCTTTTAGGAAGAAAGTTATTTTGCTTACATTATTATAAGGGATTTTGTGGTGTCTTTGTAAATGTAAGAATGTAGATAGAAGAGTATATCAACTAAAATTTGGCATGATCTGGGTCTTCTGAGTTAGTCACACCAATAGACTAGCACAGGTCTCTTTTTATTGTATGAATTAACTTCCTGTGATACGAAAACGTGGGACTTTTTTATTGGCACATTGAAATAAAATGTGTATTTTTAACTAAAACTCCTCTGTAGTAACCCTGCTGCTTCTGTTGACATTTGGGTAATTTTAGCTGCGTGGCATGTAACGTGGAATGGCTAATACTGGCGTCTGCTCAAACTAGTGACTTCATGTTTATTGTTGAATGGTCTTTGGTGAAAGGTTTCTGCTTCCTTGGAAATGGAATTTAAAATCCATCTCTCTCTGCAGATGGCTAAAAATTTGCACATGCCCTTTTTACTCCTTCATGATATTTAGCAGGTGTTGATTTTTCTCCTCAATCTAATTATTCTGCAAAACTTACTCTCTGGTGCTTGACTAGTTGTGGTACCAGGTGGCCAAAAATTTAAGGATGAGCTTTTACTCAAAACACTGACATCTTTTACACAAATAACATCGGCAGAAACCTCTAAACGTAATAGAAATCATTAATCACTTGACAATTGCTAGCATCAATTGTTGCAGGTTTTGAGTTCTTTAAGCTATTAATACAAAGAAAACTTCTTAAACATCTCAAGTCACGGTTTCCTTTTTTGAGGGAAGATGTGAGGTCTTCTGACCTACGTTCTGAAGGACCCTAGGAGAGTGTATGTGAGAAAAGAAAGCTGTCATTCGTCTTTCTGCAGTTCGCTCAAACCTTCCTCCTCAGAGGGGAAGATTCTCACAGCTGAGCTCAGGAGTTCCCACCTGCTTCACAGAAGCTGGTTTTAAAGCAGCCCAGATCCTGGAGACTAATTAGGCTGATTTCTTACAGCAAATACACACCTGCAGGATTAATTATTTGTGTATAGGTTATGTCAAACTCTCTGTCAAAAATTGCCTGGTAAGGCACTCTGGTGACGGGTCACAGCAGAAGACTGGAAACAAATGTCAGACTGAACAAAAAACCTGGTAGGTGGAGGGGAAGAGAGCAAACTTTCTTTACTGCAGTGGGACTATCTAGCAGAAATAAAGGCCAGTTTTGGCAGTAAACAAGCACTGAAAGGGAAAGTGAGGCCAGTTTGGGCTGCTTATGAAGTCTGTCATGGCAGTTTGCTTCCCATGTCTAAACCACAGCAGAGCATCCTACGTGAAAAAAAAAAAATCACAAGATTAACTTTGGTCACACCTCGGGTAACCCATGATGTTCATAAAAAACACGCTTCCTGTTAGCAATGACTTCATGGAGCGTTTTCAGCACGAGTACGCCGTCCAAACCCCGAGCATCCATCCCCTCATGCTGCAGCGCGGCCTGGCCTTGGGGCCTCGTCCCAACTGTCGCGGCGCTCGGTGTCTGCAGCGGGGATCGCCATGAAACGCCCCCGTTCCTGCCGTGGCAGGGGGCGACACAAATGCTGCCCTGGGGTGATTTAGCGGAAGTGCCCAAAGCCTGTAACTGGTGTCTGGAGCGTTTACTGGTCGTGCGTTGCCTGCCTGGTTTACAGCGTACCTGATAAGAGGCATGCGCACGCCGCCGCTTGGGAATTTGGTCAGCTTTTTTCTCTTCTGTACTCTTAAGGCAAACCCACTCCACAATAAACCTGCAGACTAACAGGACAGCTGTACTGGGACCTGTTTTTCAGTACCCAGAGATGCTGTGGAAGATGGAACAGAGCAGCCTGGGTTTCTGCAGGGGACTGGGAAGGAGGCCAGGCTGCTCTGGCAGCCCTGCCTGCGGCTGTGGCTGCTACGAGGGACAGTCAGCACTTCAGAGGTGCGGAGAGGGAGCAGTGGCAAATCTGGTGTCTGCGGTTCTGTGCAGCTGTGGGTGACCACAACTGAGGGTGGCTGTGCTGCCTCCCACAGCTCCAGTCATCATCCTTGGAGGAGGCTGCGCAGCTCCAGCTCTCACCTGTTTGGTAGGATTTCACCAAAAATTCCATAGTGTTTGAGAGTCCTTGAAAAGCTGCCCGGCCAGGGGTGTGTTTGTGTGACCGCTGCTGCTGTGACCCTGGGCCCTGCTCCTCTGGGTGGGGTATGCGCAGCCTGTGCAGCCCAGCTGGGGGCAAGGGGATGTGTACCTGAGGTCTAGTGCATGGGCAAACCCCACTCCCACACGGGTGATGGTGCTTCTGCCCCTGGTCTGCAACCTAGCACTTCCCAAGCTTGGATCAGCTGGGCTTTATTCTCCAAACAATACCAACCCTTACACAGTATGAACTGCAGCCACATAATGTGTGGCCACTGTGTATGTCCATGTACTCATGGCATTGCAGGAGAGCAAGCAGGATGCTCATTTTGGGAGTCAGGGTGGTAGAACTGACCGTGACGGGTCTGCCATGTTTGCGAGCCCAATGGCCAGGCACTTCCACTGGGGGCAAGATCATTCCTGCAGCTCTGCAGCCGAGGAAGCATGCTGGAGTGTGGCAGGCCCCAGCCACAACCTGCCAGCAGGAGCTGGGGCTCATGCGGCCCCTTCGGCAGCAGCATGGCAGAACAAAAGTGGGAGTCTGGCTGCAGTGCCTCACACGGCGAGCCTGGCTAAGGGATGGCTACCCCTGTGTCCCTAGGGAGAGGGTTGCCAGCTCCCTAACATGATGACACTGCCATTCCCCTGGCTTCTGCTAATTTTTTATGAAACCTCAGAAATGTGGAGGTTCTCATGCAAGAGGCCCCTGTTACAGGGTTTGGGGGATGATACATATTTCATGTGGAAACGCAACTTGAAGATGATGGTTTTCCTCCTGCAGTTGTATAATTCGGGACTATTGATAGATGCACCCACCTCACTGCAGCAGCCAAGGCATGGTGCAGAAGATGCTCTTGTGCAGCTATCACTGCTGGCCTTGAAATAGTAGTTAAGCCAGGGGAGCCAGCACACTGTCCTCCACAAAGCATGACCAGTGCGTACCCACGCCACCGCAATGCTGCTGTCAGATCTGGTGGCTCCATCCACAAGGGCTACCCTGTTGCCTGGCATGAGAAGGGCAGAGCCACCTGATGAGCTGACACTGAGCTGTGGGGCAGGTCAGTGGTGCGGAGAGACCAGTGGCCAGCACAGCTCAGACCATTTTGCTTGGAATAGCTGATGTTGTAATGAACAACCACAGTTTTATCAGCCTTCCAACATGCTCCACATGAATGTTACCAGATATTCCCCTGATGTAGTTTGAGTTGCGACATACCACATCCCTAAACAAGGTGTTTTCAGTGAATTTTTACTGCTAAGCAAAACCTAGTGCCCAAGGTGAGGCTGGACAGAGGGTGAGAGCTTTGCACGGACCAGACAGCAGCAGAGGTGGTGACAGGAGTTAAAGCCAGAAGAAACCACAGAGGAGGAAAAAAGTTCCCAAATGGGATGCATCACCCAGGGTAGTTTGAAAGCACCATTTGGCATCTGGCAGGATTTCTGGCTAACCTGCTAGAGGCACTTACCCTTCTCAGTGGTCTGGGTCAGCATCCTCTTTTCTTAAGAAGCATTGAACACAAGCCATGTGGTGTGGTTATACTCCTCGCCTGGCTGGAGTAGGGTGTTGGGGAAGTGGGGCTGGAGAGAGGCAGCAGCACATCAGTGATTGTGAACACACACCACAGGACCAGAAAAGCCATGAGAGCACGGCCACATTCCTGGGACAGTGTCCCATGGCTCCCCCTGGGCATTTCCAACAGCAGTCATTAACTCCCCAGTGCTTGCCAGCTGGCTGAGTGGGCAAGTCCTCCCCTGGTTGTATTCAGGCCCCATGGGGAGGACGTGGCAAGGCCCTGGTGGGGTCTTCTGCTCAAGACCCCATGCCCTTGGGAAGCTGGGCTGTGTGGGGCCGGTCCCTGCTGTGCTGGCTGACCCCTGCCTAACGCTGCAGGATGCCGTGACCTGTGCCCACCTCCGTTCTGGTGTCTACAAAGTGTCCCCTTGCCAAACATTTCATGTATTTAACACCACAGAGGCATGGGGTGTGGTGGTGGTATGGTCCCCTGCCACTGAGCCTGAGCAGAAACCAGGGGTGGGGGGACAGTTCACCTTGTTGATGGCGTCAGGCCAGTTCTGGGTTTCCAGGCAGAAAGCTGAGTGCCTAGGGTACGTGCTGGCGCCTTTGCCCTTCAGGGAGCCATCCAGGTTGTTCCCAGTGTAAAACTGGATGCCAGGCTGGGTAGTGTGAACCTCCATGGCCCTGCCGGTGGGTGGGTGGCGAGCCCTGGGGAGATGCCAGTGGAGGATGCCAAGCGGCTGGCCGAATGGCCACCCCATGGCTCCAGGGGTGGGGGACCCCTGCCAGGGTCCCAGCATACCTGGCCACAAGGCGTCGAGCCTGCACCTGCTGCAGGCAGAAGTTGTGGTCGAAGCCGTCCAGATGAAACTTCTGCAAGTGCTTCCCCAGCTCCACAGGCTGCCGCAGATCGAAGCTGGTGCCCTGCACGGAGGCCACCTCCCCTGGGCAAGGAGAAAGGCAGTGTCAGCCATTTACTCACCCACCAGCAAACACCTGTGGCACTGGCCCTGCACAGGGCTGAGAAACCTGGCTTTGGTGAGCTGAGGGTTTTAAGCCATTTGTGATCCTTGTCACACTGTGGTGCACTACGTCAAGCAAGCTTGCCTTGTGGCCACTGTGACTTTGTCTGAGATACCACCACCTTGTCCCCCAGCAGGGCTGGTAGCCCCCTGGGGACACTGCCGTGCTTAGCTGGGACAAAGCAAAGCCAAGGAGCCAGAAAACTAGAGGGGGGACTTGTATATGTAACTATACAAGCTAATTAATATAAACTCCAAACTTATTAGCTATTAATATTTATATGTGCGTAAGATTTATATACATATACTCTCTCTCTAAATAAATTAATCCTACCAGACCTCTGAACAAACATCTGTGAAATGGCCACAAAGGTGGCTCACCTGCTGGGATGGTGAATATGGGCTGTATTTTGGGACCAGTCCCCTCCTGCCTCAGGGCATTGTTGCAGGAAAAAAAGGTTTAAGACCATAAAACCAGCATTTTCTCTCAAGTCTCTTTTTAGAAAGACCTGATGTGGGGACACAGTATCCTGTGATAAAGCTCCTGCAGTGAGAATAACCCCAAGTCACACTAAACACAGTGCAAA